AAGTGCATGCCTCGGTGCAAATAGCGTGCAGCTCCTCGTGGCACCCTTGCAGATCTCGCGGCTCCCTGATTGAGGATCGCTGACCTAGGGCCTGGAGACCTTGACAGCTGGTCCAGTAGGAAGCTCTGGGTTTTGCCAGCTTTCCCATGCCCTTGCACGGGGGGGTCCCCTTGGCTCTTTCAGCAGTCCGACTGTCACAGAGTGGGAGGAGCCCCTATACAGGGTCCTGGATGAACTTCCATCGGTCTCAGATGGGGTGAGGCAGAAGAAGCCTTTTCAGTGACTAATATAATCCCCTGTTTACCAACCACCATAGGAATGTGAGACCAACCGCCCGTCCCACCACAGCCGTCAGCACTGACTGCCAAGCAACCCCCGCCTAACTCCTCACAAGTTGAGCAAAGTCTTTTCCTACAGGAAAGACATGAGCACGTCTCGATTCTCCAAGTCAGACCGGCTCAATGTGGTGGGTACGAGAAGCGGGCACTGCTACAGCTAACCCCTTGGCAATGGTAAATAATGTCACCTTATACTTTTCAGCAGTCCTTGAGCATCTCCTGAACTAATACCAGGAGTGTCTGTAGGTTGCTGAAGGCAAGTCACTTGGTTACCTACAGAAAATCAGCAAGCAGAGCTGGGCAAGTGGAATGAAAAGGTGTCCATCAGCAACACGTTGGGGTTTTGCTTTTCTCCTCCTAAAGGCAAAAAAAAAAAAAATAGAGAAAAGGTGGGCGTCTAATCTTCAGTTGTGTATTTGTGTTTCATGCTTCACACACTTGTATCCATGCTTTCTATTGGAAGTGTTCAGAAAGCACGTTTAAAAAATGCTTTGGGTGGAAAATAATTCATGGTAATTTTGGAAAAGGACAACCGGATTCATTTTGGATCTCGTTATGGGAACGCCTGCCGGAGCAGCAGCCTCTTGGTGTTTTAGATGTGTAAGTCTCACCTGCAAGAGTCCTCTGGGCTGTTTGCGAGGGGGTTGATAATGCCACGGTCTCAGAGCTGGGACCATAGCCTCTCACAGTGGATGTGTCTACACATGCATTTATGCCGGCTTAAATTTACTGTGCAGTAAATTACTGCACAGTAAGTGAGGAATAGCCCGGTGTCTACACGTGCAGGCATTAAAACGCGTTAACGCTGTGTGTGGACTGACTTCAGACTAAAGTTAGTCCCAAGTCAGTCCCCCCACACAGTGTTACTGCACAGTAAGGCATCTACATGTGTGTTACTAATCAGGTGTAAATGTGATACCTGCCTGACACAGGTATCAAATTTACACTGAAGTCGACATAAGTCACCGTATTTGCTGTGCAGTACAGGCATGCATGTGTAGACGCACACCTGCACAGCACAGTCATTTTGGTTACTGCGCAGTAAATGCACACGTGTAAACGCGCCCCCTGTGGTGTGACGCAGGTGAAAGTGGGCTGAGAAAACCCATATAACTGCCACAACCTTCTTCCTTCACCTCTCCAAGCCTCAGGTGCAGCTCTGCTCTCTCCCTTCACTTATTGTTTTCTCCCATATTTATTTTACAGCTCGCTTTTGGAGCCAGCCTCTGCTTTCCACAAGAGCCTCTGCTCTCTCAGAGCTCTTGCTTTTTTTTTTTCCCTTTGTGCTGCTGTGCAGTAAAACTCTTTTTGACTCCATCCGTGGACAATGTCCTGTTGAACAATGACATCTAGTGGTTTTTCTTCTGAATGAAACCGTGGCGAATCCGAGCTCTGCTGCTATTCATCAGTTGTAACGTCAACCTAAAGAGCAAATGAATATCCTGTCTGGTGTTCGTGGGTAGCAGCGAAGGCGTGAGTGGGGAAGAGCTCCTGTGCTCCTGTTCACGCAACTTGTGGAGGAACAGAGTTTTATAGCAGTGAAGCTTGTTCACTGAGATGGTTTCACTCCTTTATTTACCTAAATGGACCGGTCCTAGCTGCAAGGTTGTTGTTGTCCACCGCATACCCCCGACTAGTGAACGAGCGTGCAAGGAATACTGTGGCTGGGCATTGTTTGCAGGCACAAGCTGCAGAAATCGGAAAGCACAGCAGTGAGGAGCTCAGTTTAACGCGTGCCCTGTCGTGTTTTCTGCTCGGCTTCCATAGGCTTGTGAAGAAAGAAGGTGAAATGCAAAGTGAAAACCTCAGCTCCTTTTACTGTAGAATATTACAGAGGTATTTTACAGATATAAAATGATGCTTTTCAGTAAATCCCATGTTTTCTAGCAGGGATAAAGGTTGGAGCTGTATTGGTCTAAGAATACAAGCAGTATTCAGAATACAAGTGCTAGAGGCGGTAGCTTTTATTAGACCAAACTAGACAGTTGCAAAAAAATTGGCGTGATGAAGTCTGCAAAAAAAAAAATGTTTTGCAAGTGTCTAGCTGGTCTAATAAAAGAGATTGCCTCTAGCACCGTGCCTGCATGTTTTCTAGCACATATGTGTGCCTGTACATGTATTGTGCAGGTGTGCATGTACACATTTAGTGTGTGGGTGTGCATGTATACACACACACACACACACAAATTATATTGTGTAAAACTGCATGTGCAAAGTAATAGCATCAGTCTCCTTCTAGGGTTCCTTGGTCGGCAGTGAACTTTCTGTGCTGCTTTCCCTGCAGTTTATATAAAGGCGGGTGGTGTTCGTGCTGCCAGGGCACTAGGCACGGGGGCACAGCACCGCCTGTCCTGCTGCTCCTCGTCCTGCCTTCTTTATCAACCCCGGCTGTTTCTCCCCCATCGTTACCGCTGACGTCTCCATGCCGACATTTCCAGTTGCCCCTGAAGCTGAACCGTTGCGTTCCAGTGTCTGCCAAGGCAACGACACGTCCATCGCACACTAGAAAACTCCCTGTTCCCACTGTGTTTTAAAGCACGTGGTAGATCAGTCCAGCTCTGAACCCTTCTGTTGAGGCTACTGCCCAACTCGGGGGACGGCGCTCTTCTGCCTTTCTGTTTTAGCGCTTACAGACCGCAGGATTAAGCAGCGACGTCTGTGTCTCGTGCAGGTTGCCCATTGCATTGCTCCAGACGGCAGCCAGGGCCCGGGCGGAAACTATTTTATTAAAAAAGCGCTCTTAAGGTTTTGTTTAATTTCCTGCGTTATTTACTTAGCTGGCTGTTTGGCTTCAGAGCACGGCAGGCAGGTAGAGGTGGGGAAACAAAGCTGGAATTTGCAGTGGCTCTTCTCAAGCCCGGTTTTCTTGCTGCTTCTGTTACGGTTGGGTGAGGGCAGGTGAGAAAACCCCCATTTGTCTCGGTCGAAAAAGGGAATCGTGTTCTTCTTTCAAGGTTTAATTGTTAATAGAAGAGTCACGTATTGGGATTGCTGGGAAGCAGAGTGCAGCGCCGCGTCGTTTGGCCTCTTGGAGTGTGACCCCAGCTGTCCCCCTGGCTCTGTTGTCTGAGAAGCAGGGCGCGTGGACCCAGATGAGAAATGCAGCAGGAAGGCAACCTGGGACCAACCCTCCCCGCCACAGCCTGTGCGCTGACCCTGTGCACGAGCCTGGGGTCGGACACAGGCCAGCACCGGGGTGTTGTCGTTGAAACAAACCCCAATGACTGCAAACAAGCGATCCCCAATCAGTAACGTGCACTGTGGGGGGGTGTTTGTCTGTATAAGTATATGCACATGTGTCTTTATATGTGTATGTGTGTCTAGATAAGTATGTGTGTGTCTTTATATGTGTATGTGTGTGTCTTTATATGCGTGTGTCTATATAAATATGTGTGTGTGTCTATATAAATGTGTGTCTTCATATGTGTATGTGTCTATGTGTGTGTGTCTGCATGTGTAAGTATATGTGTCTTTATATGTGTGTGTGTCTATATAAGTATATATAGACACATGCGTGTGTCTTTATATGCATATATGTGTATATGCGTGTGTCTATATAACTAAATGCGTGTGCCTTTATATGCATGTGTGTGTGTATTTGTGTGTCTATACAAGTATATGCATTTGTGTCTTTATATGTATATGTGTGTCTAAGTACATGCGTCTGTGTCTTTATATGTATATGTATATGTGTGCATGTCTATATATGTCTCTGTGTGTGTGTGTGTGTGTGTGTGCGCGCGCCTGTCTGTGTGTATACGTCTGTGTGAGCCTGTGTGTCTGTGTGTGCGTTTATTATTTGCAGGACTGAAAAAGCAGCAGTCCTTGTATTTTGGAGCACTCTGCTCATAAGGTCACCGTGCCCCAAACTGAAACGTGGTGATTTTAATCCAATACAGATGGGGATGGAGACGGGGGTGGTGCGAATTTGAAGCCACGGCTAGTTGTTTGCTGCTGCTGGATCTCCTGGCAGCGTGCAGTCGGCTGCATGGCAGTAGTTCGGGGTCCTGCTGTGTATGGCATAGCGTTGTCCCTCTGCGTGTAGGGTGGGGGCTGGGGGAGCACCCGGCAGCCTAATGAGAACGAGCACACCTGAAGGAGAACCGAGCGCATGAACAGGCCTCGGAGCTGCGTGTTTGCAATGATCCCAGACCTGCTTAGTCGAACCCTGCATCCTGTAGGTGAGGCTCCTCCTGTCGCATCAGTTAAGTCGTGGAGCAAGCTGAATTGATGCGACAGAAGTCACCCCAGAGCCTCTTCTACGCTAGGGCTGCCCTCCACGGCGATAGCTATACGGGGGAATTTTTTGGTAATATTCCCTAACGTGAATAAGCCTACGAAGTGGGTCCCTCCAGCTAGAGGCCCGTTGGTAAGCGTTCAGCGGAGAGACGTAGTTCATCATGGTCGTCTGAAATCAGGCAGGGTAGATTTGCACCTTTGTAGACACCTGTCAGAGGTGCGCGGCATAAGCGCTCATAAGCAGCGGGCTTACTTCATCACACGAAGGGTTTAGATGCTCTTTGGCGAAGACGTAGACTTAGACGAAGCTTTGCTAGCGTTTCTAGTGCCTCTGGATGCAGTATGCGAGCACCTGTTGACTGTGAACGCTAAGTCATTCCCTGCCAGGTTTAAACACTCTGCTTTTCTCTTCTCCTTTCCCAGGAACTTTTACTACATCACCATCCTGCGGGACCCCGTGTCCCGATACCTGAGCGAATGGAGACACGTCCAGAGAGGAGCCACGTGGAAGGCGTCCCTGCACGTATGTGATGGAAGATCCCCGACGACCGAAGAGTTACCCAGTTGCTACACCGGGGACGACTGGTCTGGTTGTTCCCTGAAGGAATTTATGGATTGCCTGTACAATCTAGCCAACAATCGGCAGGTCCGCATGCTGTCTGACCTCAGCCTGGTTGGGTGTTACAACTTGTCCGTCATGCCGGAGGAGCAGAGAAACAAGGTCCTGCTAGACAGTGCAAAAGAGAACCTGAAACGAATGGCTTTCTTCGGCCTCACGGAGTTTCAGAGGAAGACTCAGTATCTGTTTGAGAAAACTTTTAACATGAATTTCATCTCGCCATTCACACAGTACAATAGCACAAGGGCCTCCAGCGTGGAGATAGACGAGCAGACTCAGAAACGCATCGAGGCCCTCAATTTTTTAGACATGGAGTTGTACGATTATGCAAAAGACCTTTTCTTGCAGCGGTATCAGTACATGAGACAGAAAGAGCACCAGGAAGCCAGGCGGAAGCGCCAGGAGCAACGCAAGATCCTCAAGGCGAAGCAAGCGCACAACAAGGAACAGAGCGATAATACTTCCACTACTGATTACATAGGAAACGTAGAGCATTGGCGGTAATGGGGCCAAAACCTTTTTAGCAGACTAGGGGGAGACACCCCGCAGCAATCCTAGGAGACAAAGTAGTCCAAACAAATTATGCTTCTTAACTATTTGAAGCAAAAGAGGTTAAAATGTTGCCTTTGCAGTTGCCTTTGCATTCAATGTTGTACTGTATGTGGAAAACTTAATCTTAATGTGTCATTCAATTGTCCTTTTTAGGTTTGTCGGATTATTTATGAAGTTCAAAAGCCAAGCAGGCTCGCCGGAAATGGTTGCTTGGACGCTTATACGGAAAACAAAAAACCCCCTTAAATTAGTGACAACGGGATGTTGGGAAATGTGGATGATGCACTGTTCACGTCTGTCTTGGAAGCAAGCTGACTTCCTACTATAAAGAGCATTTAACGCATACTTAAAATAAACTAGATGCGCCAAATCTTCGCTCTTCTGGGTTTTGTTTTTGGTTCGGTTGGTTGGGGGGGTTTTGTTTGGTTCGGTTGGTTTTTACTTTCGTGTCTTTTCCAAGGCCGCCAACTGCTTTGTGATTGATACTTGCCAACGTACGAGCCGACGAAGGGGACAGTCAAGGTCTAGAAGCTAGTTTTGTGTATCATATTGGCTTTTAAAAAAGATAGAAGGAATTTGTCTAGCTATATAAATATTTAACATTTTAAACTTTTTCTACCTACTGCTGTTTAAGAGTTTTAAGCTTCGTTTATCTCCTATTTAAAAAGCCACACTTTTCTCGGTTGAATGCCAGTTGCTAAAGACACTGTTTCCAGATTTTTTCAGGGCAATATAAGTTAAAACATTCTGGAAAAGTTCTGGCACATGGTCACGGTCCACAAAGTCTTCTCCAAATTGTGCTCCTATTACGGTATCCAGTTTTAACAAGCTTCCTTGCACAGTGATTGGGGTGCGTATTGCTGAATTTACCAGCTCTAAGCGATCGGGGACGGAAAGCTGAAAATCTTTCAAAGAAAATTAACTTATGAATGTTTGTACAGTATCTCTAGGAAAATACATTTCCAAAACACTCTCATCCCAGCACTGTTTTAAAAAAATAACAGCATTGATTATTAGCTGATTGATTGACGGCAGACTAGATTTACATTTGAACTATGATTTGCTTCTGGGAAATCTTTACTGTGTATTCTCAAAATCTGGCTTTTTTCCTAATGCTTTAGAGCCCTTTTTTAGTGCTGACAGATTGTAGACAATTAAAAATGATGGAGACAAATATATCTAATATAGCCATAGTTATACAATAGAAGAAGGTTGTACAGTAAAATGGGAAGAAGGAGCTAACTCGAGGAAGGGAGTATCATTATAGCTCGGGATTTGGAGAGCAAAGTTATCCTTGTGATAGCACCCTGTCCTCTAGGCTCATCAGGAGCAGGCTACAGGATGGCATTTGCTGGCTCTTAGCACTGAGATTTTATATGGAAGCGGCAGGGAGATGATGTGAAGGGAGGAGAAGCATAAAAGAAATGCGATTTGGATGGAACAAGTCTCTCTATGCAAAAAACACTGTAAAGCTTTGGGGAGAAGTTGGGTTTTTTGTTGCTGTCGCACACTCTGCCCTCAAGCATGGCACGGAAAGGGCAGCTTGGGATTTGCTCCGGGCTCTGTTTCGGGCAGGCTGGTCTCAGCTCGGCTCGTTCACTTGCAGGGATTGGAAGCGGCTGAAAAACGGCATCCCTTCACCCCGGTCAGTAGGACGCTTACAGCATTCATTTGCACTGTTTCCTTTTATCTGTAGTGTTAAGTACACAAATAGGGCAGGAGGCACAAAATGAGAAGGGAGGTTTTAAAGCTCGCCTCCCTGGCCGCAGTTGCCCAAAGGTTGAGTTGCACCGGGCCCGGGGGGATATTGCCAGCTGGGAAAACGGTGGGGCGGGGAATTGCATTAGCAAGTGGGGGAAGACAGTAGTTTCATGTACAGCAATTTTTATTTTTAATTGAGAAGTCCCTTCCCCAATATGGTGTTTCGATTGTATTTTGGTTTTCATGGGGGGAGTGGGGGGGGAATGATCCGCTCTTAAAACTACTAGGCATTGCTGTAAACAGGACTTAACCCCGATCCATCCTGTTTCGGAGGATGCATTTTGTTTTTATGCTGTGGTGTGCATGGTTTACAGAGACTAGTTGCATTTTCTTTGTGTATACTGTTTATTGTATATAGGGGATGTATGAATATAAAGATACTGTTTTGTCATAACCATATCAATTCTACTGATTTCCACTGTAGCCCGCTGTCTTATTGTGTAGATTTACAAACCGATCCACTGACTTTGATTGTGTAATTTAACAATAGAGCTGACCAATAAAATTTAATTACAGACTTTGATTTCGTTTGATTATTTCTTTATCTAAAGGGGGGGATGGGGACCAAACACCTTGTTGGGAAACCTGCAGTTAGATAGTCATGATCATCTTGACCAGGATGAAATGGTGAGGGCTAGTCAACCATATGTTACAAATGTTTTAATGTCCTTAAAATATATTTGAAGCTGCAGCCTTCCAGGGGAACCAGACCCCCAGGACTTCCCATATTTAAAGGATTTGAGATGTTTAGCCTCTCTAAAAAAGAAAAATCTTTTTTTTTATGACACCCACTCTTCCCTTCTAGAGTTGATTGTGGATGATACTAACCCAATGGTTGACTCCCATTAAGCCCTGTCCAGGGCACAAAAGGGATTTTTTTTAAGAATAATGTCAGCACCATAAGAAGAAAATTGGAATAGGGTTCAAGATTGGCCAGATAAACTCACTTCTGCTTCATTGGAAGATCAAATCATCTCATGGGACTTCTGTAGAAATCAGTGCACGGGCCAATGCAAGCCTAACCACTCTCCCCACCATCCCTCACCAAACCCAGGACCCCCAGCCCCCTCTCCAGATATGTGTATGCTCCGAGATTTGCAGTGCGTGACCCCTCCATAGCCAGCCCCATGTCTCCGCTGGAGCAGAAGATGGCTGTTGGCCTACCAACACCTCAATAAATGCAAGCACAAAGAATATCTTCCATGTTTTGGGGGTGTTGGTTATAGCCGTGTCGGTCTAAGGACACAGGCAGATGTGATATCTTGTATTAAACCAACTAAGTAGTTGGGAAAAAAATTCTTTGCAAGCTTTTGGGCACAAATGCCCTTCTTCAGGCCTAGGGAGAGTCTGCCGGTGTTTGGGGTAGAATAGAAACTTAAGCCAATATGCAACATGCAGGTCTGTGAAAAATGCAAGTGTGCAGCAGGGAAAATCAGAGGGGATAAGAGACGATGGGTGCGAGACAGGTAGGTGGGAAGGGAAGAGGGGGAATAGACTGGTGATAGACTGGAGCTGGTAAAGTGTAGAGGTTACCTCGCATTATCAGATTATAATATGCTGTAATTCCAATATCTAGATTTTAGTCCATGGTTATTTGTGGCCAGTAGATTTATGCCGTGATGTTCATGGACTCGTCTACGAAAGGTGTTTTGAGGATCAGAACTGAACGTCTGGAGAAAGAGTAGTTGTCTTTTGAGAAATGTGTCCCTGGGTATTTTTGTCTTGGATGGATATTCAGCGTGCGTTCGTTCTGGTACACGGTTGTGGTTTGGTTTCTCCTACGTAGCTCCTGTCTGAGCATCCTCCTGTGACGTCTGAAATATCATAACCGGAAGGAAACGTAATTCAGCATCCTGCTTGACACCAGATCACATCGAGGTAAATAGACCGTTCAAACTTTTATCTGAGCCTAATTTGCACAGTATGAACTATTGCAACCAGGAGACCTTACAACACCTTCAGCTCCCCTGTGAAATATGAATTTTCATTTCCGCCTAGGAGAAATTTTACAATCTTTGCATTCTCCTATGTCTGAGGAAGGGTGAGTGAGCCTGAAAGCTTGCAAATAAAGAATTTTCTTGCAAATATCTACTTGGTCTAATGCATGATATCACCTTTGCCAGGAGATCTGATTCCTGGATGAGATGTATCACATTTTCAGAGGTGCAGGTATAAGATCCAGGAATGGTGATGGTACTGTTTTGGGATGCAGTTATTGTGGGGGTGGTGGAGATGTGTTGGCTGGTTTTGCATTTCTTGTCCCGGCATGGTCTGGATCCATTCGGTGTGTTTTGGGCCATAGGAAGTTTGCTTCTGGAGATGAGGTTGGTGAGGTTCGGTGCCTGTTGAAAGGCTAAAATGGGTGACTCTGGAAAGATCTTTTTAAGACTGGGCTTTCATCATCAAGACTGCTGGGGAAACTGCAATGCACATCGCTGACTGCCTCAGCATTAGTCAGGCCCATTAGCTGCTGAAAATCCCCCGCAGACCTGTTAATGGGGTACGTGTTGTGAAAAGGCGCTTCCCTGCAAGAATAAAAATGGGGGGGGGGAAGCAACCCGACAATATAGTCTGACAAAGAAGCCAGCCACTTGGAAAAGCAGCTGGGAGAAATACTTTGACAGATGAAGACATGCATCTCAGAGGAGGAAGTATGAGAGCTGGGGGGAGAGGAACCTCAATCTGGAAACATAAGGGCTACCGTTTGGAAGGCCGATGTCTTGAGAAAGAACGTGTAAAGAAGCAGAGGGCTAAGACACTACCCAGCGACAAGAGTCCATGCAGCTCTCTGAGCCTGCCGTGGCTGAGATGGGTCACACTAAAGTTTGCTCACGGTGTTTTCAGGCTCTTCGCTTAACTAGAAAAGTTTGCAAGCTTCCAAAGAATGCAGCCCAACACCGCCTTTTCTGGAGTATCATGTTTTCGGTGCATATTTTATGTTTACTCAAATGTGTGTTCAAACATCGACATGTAAAGGCATGTAAAGATTAACTGCTCAATTGATTTTTGTTAATGAACTTCACAGCCCATTTATTTCATGGCTGCTTTTCAATGGAGTATAATACGGATCTGGTTCTTATGTGCCATTATTAACCAATAATGAGCTAATCAGGGTTCTTTTTCCATGCGATTACTTTACCATGGGAAAATCCTATATAAAATGATGGATCAGACGTGCTTAAGCGCAGATAAATGCCTGTGCTATTGATGCTTCAGCTCATTAGCTTAGGGAAGAAGTGAGTGAACTGATAGCCCCCCTCCTCTTTAAACTTTGGTTAAAAACATACTATAGAGGAAAACCATCCATTGAGTGTGGGCTCTGGGATAGTCAGCTGAATGAGGGGAAGAGAGTCCCCAAATAAAGGAGATTTTTAGGGAGCATTGAGAGGTTTTTTTTCTCAGTGATTACAGGTAAGTCTGTACTAAAAATGCCCCCCCCCCACCAGGAAGCTTGGTGGAGCTGGGGATGTACAGAGACCAGCCCTATGCTATCAGCCCGGTTGGGTTATACACGCTGGGCGACTGCATCCCTTTGCACGTCTTTACACACCGGCGTAGCTCAGCTGATGCTCGTGCAGGTACTGCTGGGAAGGAGGAAGGCGACAGCGGGTCAGCCTGTCTCTGCTTCCCCTCGCCTCCCGTCAGGCCCTGTTGCCATACCTCTCGCTCTGGGCAGTACAGCCAGCATTTTTTATGTGCTCAGTGCAACTCTTCATGTTGAGCCCTCGATGTCTGGACAGGGGTTGCTTCGCGCTGTGTTTTCCTGCCCCTTAGCAGCACCCTTGCAGAGTTCCCTGCTTTCTGGGAATGCTTGCAAAGCAGCAAGTGCCCACAGTTTGCTCAGAAATGGGTGCCGTCTCCATTTGGAAAAGAATAACTGCCCCATCCTCTTTGAAATGCTATGATGGAGGGACTTTCTTCCAGTCTCATGCCAAGGACCCAATCCTGAGAGTTACCGAGTGGAGGGGGGGTTTACTTGAGAAGCCCCTGTGGGCTCTGGTGGAGGTTCCTGATCCTCACCACCGATAGCTAGTTTGGGAAGTAAACCCGGATGATTGCACACCCTGGCATGGAAGTGATGCACTTTTATGAGCAGAGCCCTTGGGGAATCTTCTTTACAATGCAGGCATCGTACAGGGACGTCTCATTGCTGCCACCCATGTCTCCTCCAACTGGCAGGTGCGAAGAGAGGCTTGTTACTGCTCCCATCCTGAGAAGACATTGATGTTGGCCAGGTAACGCAGCTTAAATGCGCTGCAAAAGTCTTCCAGTGTTACTGGATATGGCATTAAACGGTAGCACAATTATATCACCCTCAGAACATGGAAACGCAATGTTTCCAAATCTGCTGATTTTTTAGCAAATGAAATATGAACTTTCATTTCTACTCAGGAGAACTTTTAGTCTTTTCTCCAATGCCTGATGAAGGGGGTTTGTGCCTGCAAGTTTGCAATTAAAGAATTTGTTTTGCAAAAATCTTGTTGGTTTAATAAAAGATATCATCTCTACTACAGGTCCTGGTTGCCTTTTTCCTCCAGACCAATATGGCTACAACCTGGATAGCAAACTATTTGTGGCTTTCCAGATGGCTCCAATTCCTGGAGCCGGGGAGTTGTTGTCTCAGCTTCCCTTTTAAAAGAAATGTCTCTCTCTTGGTTGCAGAGACTAGCCTGAAAATGTGACTAGGGCATAACATGAACCAGAAGGCAAAAGGTCCCTTGGAAATGTATTTCAAATATGTTTCATTTTTAGGCCAGCAAATGATTTTGGGGCTGTGCCTCATAGTTTGGGAACATTTTGGGCTGGTAACATGGGTTAAACCAGGAGCATATTTCATCCGCAAGGCTGAGCCAGCACATGGTAGTAGTAGTCATTTAAAAACAAGTCCTAATCATTGAAGAGCAAAACATCTTAAGTCTGAAATGAGATCAGGATGTCTTGTCCTAAGGCAGGCTTCCTGTTCCTCCAGCCTCCTCATGGAAGAGCCTAATTTAATTTATTTAATTTGGGAGCCATGTTGCTGTGATTCGAATATTGTCCTGTGTTGTTATCTCCAGAGAACAAGTGACCAGGGTATCCGTACCTGAAAGCTTGCCAAGATGAATTTTTCCAACTATTTGAGTTGGTCTAAGAAAAGATATCAGATTAACCCAAAAACCTTTGTCTGCCAGTTTAACCCTGAAACTTCAATTTGGCTGGCAGCTTCAAGGGCTTTTTTCAACCAGTGTTTTCAAACTTTCCAGACTTAACACCATTTCCTAATAGAAAATAGTGCTTAGCTTATGCTAAGCAAGGAATTCATTTATTATTTCAGGCTTTGGGCTGCAGTGTTGTGGGGGGGAGGGGAAAACACCAAAACAAAATGTAAAAGGGGGAAATAGCTCCTAACCAGAAACGAACCTTGACTTGTGTAAGAAATGTGAATCTAGTTCACTCGCATGAATATTCACCTTTATTTTCTTTCAGAAATGTTTAGTGGGGGTCATTTCCTTTTTATTTGCAAGAACACGGA